TATTGTGAAGTCCTGTATTTTAAAAATTATATATATACAGAAATTCTCTTATGCGGACATCCGGACGTTATTATCGTGCGGACGCCATGTATTTTGTACTACCCCTCTATGCTTTCCTACCTATTTACAATAGAATCCGCACGATAATAACGTGCGGACATCCAGATAAGAGAATAACTGTATATATATATATTTCATGAAAATAAATATTTTGTTGTCTTGGTACATGATTATACTTTCATGAATATTATCACTAATAAATATATACTTTAATTAAATATCCAAATATGTTTTAAATATCATTTCACCTCTTGCATGTTATTGATTACTTGGTGGCTAAGTTTAGAGGGTTGGAGTAACCAACTTTGATTCATATTTGGATAGACATGTACGTTTACTTTTAGCTAAGCAAGGAGCACAATCATCTTGTGTGTTGTCATCAATATAGCTTGATTTTGCTAAGCTTTGAACACCTCTTGCTCAAAACTCTTATAGCTGGCAGCATTGCAATCACTTACACATGCCAATTGACACCACTTACATGAGTTGACCGACTTTTCCCCTTCTATCTCACCTTAAGCGGACTCTCATTTGCATAAATAGGAACCTTTCCCTTAACTTTTTGTTTACAACATGAATAAATAGTAAGTGATAGAACAAGAAAGTGATAGAGAGAAGAAAGAAGAGGAAAAATATTAGAAGTGTTGGTAGAACAAGAAAGACTTTGGAGGAACTCAAGGCGTTGGATTGTAGAGTTATCTCACGTTGTAAAAACATTGGAATCAAGGTAGGGGTTTCTTGGGGGCCTTTTACAGAGATTGTGTTAATTAAATTTTGTGAACAATATATTATGTGTGATATGATTATTTGATTAATATTCTTGTTATAATTGAATGTTGTTCTTGGAATGTTTATGTGTTCTTGATTGGTTGAACAATGTTGATACATTGGTGATATTTTGAATAGGTACATTGTTGTGGGATATATAGATATGTGAAATGCATAATTATATCATGTCATGGAAATTAGTTGGAGATGTTGGTTGGAGATAATAATGATGAAAAGAGGGTAATGGATATAGTCTTTTGTGTAGTTGAGTCTAACTCTTGGCAGGTACCAGGTCTCAGGGATCCCACAGTGCACATGGTTTTTATTGGGTGATTCGGGACTGGCGAAAGGGAGTTAGGAATTATGGGATGATTGAAATGGGTGTTAGTTCATATAAATGGGCATCCGGGACCAAGTGGTATAAGCATGGTATGGGACGTGTAGGTCTGCTTGTCCAGTTATATGAATTAACGGGATTAGATGAAGAGCATTCATGCATTATTATTAACAATGTGATATTTGGCTGTGTGATTGTTTGTCACTTAATTTAATTATATCAATTTCATGTAAAAAGGTTTATGTCCCTACTGAGCTGTGGTTTCGCTCACCCCCTAATAGATTTTGCAGGAAC